ACAAAGTCAGATGCGCTGATAGTACTTCAGTACAGATCAACTTTGTCCAGATCACTTGTGCCTTAGATTCAGTTTGCATCTGACATGGCAGTCTGCCACAACTCCCTACCTCAGTCCTATTTTCTACACTCCCTACCAGCGCAGATGTCAGGACCAGATGACTCTGACAAGACCCACTCTACTACCTTGACTTCATGACCAGACTGGATCTCAGGTGACTCGACTAGACAGCAGCGTCGACCATCAGAGAAGAGGGATAAAAGAAGGTACTCAACACACACTCTACATGCAGCCAGGTAAGGGTAAGAGGTTCTTCTCTTCTTTGTAGATGTCGATGTAGACTCCACGATCACTCCAATCGCTCCACGCGCAGGTAATAATCTCCTCCTTAGCCCCTTCCTCTTCGGCTTACTTCCCCTCCTGATCCCAACCACTTCTCTTCTTACACTTCCACCATAGCCAGCATCTTCAAGCCAGCATATCCTTCTCGCCGGCCTTACTCATGCCAGCGCTTCAGTGAGTGCAACAAGTTGCTGCTCCAATACCAAATTGCAAGGAACCTGATTGTTCACAACTTGCTGGAGTGTATCTCTTTGCATGCATAGATGTCAACACACAGATAGAGAAACTTCACACAAAGCCAAGTCGAGATGAGATGAGAACTAGATAGCGCAGCTCATATTATCAAAACAACTTTATACAAAGAGTATCTCGAGTCCAAGAGTTCAGCGCCAACAGAATACAAGCCTCTCTCGTTCAATCATCCACATAGGGCCTGACTCAGCCAGCGTCTGCCCTCAGATCACAGGTTTGGCGCCAACAGGTAAGTATCCACCATATCCAACTCCTCAACCTGTCTTTTCTCTCTCTCTCTCTCGAGATCACTGTCTTGGTTCCCTTGTCTTACTCTGCATGCTCACTCCCTACTCATGAGGATGTACTCTGAATGCTACTCACTGATGACTAATACTAACCCTTCTACCTCTACTTTTTTTTTTTTTTTTTTTTTTTTTTTTTTTTGAGAAATCTTCTTATGCAGCAAGCCTACTTACCGAGGTGATAAGAGCACCCCCGGTAAGTAGGCCCCCATGTTGAAGGCTCCATCTATTGGTGGGGAGCTGCACCTGCTGGAAATGGGGTCCAGCGTCCCTGTACAATGTTATGATGTGTATCAGCTGGAAACGGGTCCAGCATCCCTTCACAGTGACGTGTCGATATCATACTGTCTAATAATGCTGGCGCAGTTATGGCTGTCTCTGCCAGTAAGCGCCCAGCCTCATCTTCTTCTGCTTGCGCAGCTTCCAGCCAGCGCATTCTCCCTGCATGCTAGCGCACAAGTGCTTCAACACTTTCACGCATCAATGCCAGTGGAAATCTGTTGTGTGGGGAGGCTGGCCTGGTCTCTTATAGTCCTAGTCTTCCTTGGGTCTTTCCCCAGTCCCAGACCACTGCAGAATGTGTCCCAATACCTTTCCCTCAGGGTCTCCTCCTGCTGCGGCCTTTAGGCCTGAATTTTGGACTTTGGGGAATCTGGACTGCCTATTGGACTTTCACTTGGACTGGGACTCTACCCATCGACTTCCATTCGAACAGACACAACTTTTGCACGAACAGACACATCTACTACACGAATAGACATGACTCACACAGCCCCCCGGACGAACAGACGTGACGCCCACAATTGAATGCTGCAACTGTTCCCACAATTGAATGCTGCAACTGTTCGTCACGGGGCACGACTGTGACCTTGACACAACTCCTCACTTCAGTTAGGATGTGACTTTTGACCCAGAGAACATGTCTTTTGATCTGCTTTTCACGAGTTGGGTTCTGGTCGAATGGGCCCCATTATGCTGCGTTCGTCATTCAGGGTCTGAACGGGTAAAGGCCCTTTTACAAGTACTGCAGGCAGTTCCGACAGCACTGTGGTTGTCTACAAAAGGGATGGAAATCTCGATTACCTGCCGCAGATGTGACTCTGGGTGGGAATCGAATGCTCGCTTCTGGATTCACTGTCCATTAGCGGATGAGCTTTGGATGTGGTGGACCTTTCACTGGAATAATATAACAGAAGGGGAATTTCCCTGGACCGATGATTGGGTTCTGTACGGAACTCTCCCCAGCCCACAATGCAAATACATAAGTGGATGGGGGTACCTAGCCTTGGCTTGCAGAGGGATTATAATGCAGGTGATTTGGCAGGCTAGGAATGAGAAGGTGTTTAAGAAAGAGCAAATGTCAATCCAGCAGCAGCAAAGACAGGTCGTTGCCAATATCAGACTTACTGTTCTAGCAGATTGGAGACTGGCAAGGGGCCGCCAGGGCAGAGGCAGGTCCTGGTTTAGGTTACTCAGGAAGGGAAAATTGAGCTTGCAAGATGGTTATTAGAGAAACAGCCCTCCGCGAGCTAGAGAACGAGCAGCCAAAGTTAAGTCCGGATCTAGGATCAAAGATTGAAAATAGTAGTATTTTGAATACTGGTCTGGTCTTATTTTTCAGGGGTAACTTCGGCACAGTCACGAAAATAGTTTGTAATTTCATTCGAAACACTGATGTCGCACTTTAGTCAGGGGCCGAGTTTCAATTGCAGTTGCAGTTGAAACTCGGTCGTACGCAGTTCAGTCAGGGCCCTCGTCTATCCACGAACTGCAGATTAAAAAAAAAAAAAAAAAAGCATCCCTTAAGCTGTGATTGCGGTCCGATACAGGGTGCTACAGTACTTGTCTGGAACTGAATGAAGGGAGGCAGCTGCCTCGCGTGAAATCCGCCCTGCCTGGCTGGCAGGGCGCTACAAGGACCTCACAACAAAAAGCAAGCAAAGGAAACGACATGTCTCATGGTCCTCACATACTTGCCAGATACATTCCTTATGGCACTGGTGTAACTTCCACTGGATTCAATCTGGGGTGTGGGGGAGACATCTCGGTCGTGGCCAGTCTGGGGTGTGGCCCAGACATCTCGGCCGTGTCCAGTCTGGGGTGTGGCCGAGACATCTCTCCCGTGGCCCAACC